CGATTTCCCCTTTTAGCTACACCATTCTACCATGGAGAACCAGGCATTGTGTACTGCGCAACGATTCCTAATTTCTGGAGAAGTTTGGCAAATGGTCCAGGATGTTGTCCTGTTTCATCATATCTGCCATAAAATTCACCACCTCTATCTGACCTTATGATTTTCACCTTTCTATCTAATTGCCTCTCAACTTCAGTAATGAATGCCTCTACAGCATCAACAGACTGAGATTTTTCATGCAATAGATAGAGATAACAATAACGTGAATAATCATCGATAAATATAATGAAATACTTTTCACCTCCAAAAATTGGAACGTCAAAAGGTCCACAAATATCTGTATGTATAATTTCAAGAAGTTGTGTACTTCTTGTGTCTCTTTTCTTAGTGCGTTTAGATTGCTTACCCTTAATGCAATCTATACACTTTTTAATAGTAGTAAAATCAAGATTCGGAATGACTCCATCTTTTACCAATCTTTTAATTATTTCATAGGAAATATGTCCTAACCTTTTATGCCACAAGAAATATGATACATTAGTACATGTTTTTCTTTTAAGTCTACTTTCAGTATTCAAGGAGAGATGTGCTTCACAAGGGTTGATCAGCCAGTTTTAACATATAAAGACCATCAACTAATATTCCAGAACCAACACGGAGTTCAGAAATATATTAAAACAACCATCTCCTTGGGTAGATTTAAAACCAGCCAAATCAAGTTTGCTTACAGAACCTAAATTACGGGAAATAGATGTAACATAAAGAGTGTGATATAAATCTAGACAAAATTCACCATCTAAATGAGACGATAGGTGCCAATAGCTTCCACTGGCGCCTTGTCTCGATTTCTCATCAATAAGTAGTTTTCACTTGAATTTATAGTCTGGATCGTAAGGAATCCCTGTACGGAATTCGTTACATGTATATTAGCACAACTATCAATCCACCAAGCTTTAGTAGAGACATGAGTATGATTAGATTCGAAAAAGCTTACGGAACCCATAGGATTACCTTTCTTTTCGAACCATTCTCTTCTTTTAGTACAATCTTTCTGAAAGTGTCCAACCTTTTTACAAAAGGTACATCTATAATCTTTCTTTGCCTTTTTCTTCGGATTAGCCTGATCGAAATCATTCATTTTGGGTGGTGCTCTTTGATGGCTCTTTTGATGCATTTTCCCAACTTTAGGTCCGGCTCCTTGGACATAATGGACAACTTTAATACCTTCACGACCTAGCCTAGCCTCCTCTTGGACTAGTTTATTAGCCAATTCATTAGATGTCTATTTTTCATCAATTACATTATAATTGACATGAAATGGTCCATACTGAGGAGGTAGTGAATTTAGGATAAACTGGACGAGAAATGAATCGTCCACACTCATTCCCAAATTCTTTAGCTTTGACGCAAGGTTGGTCATTTCAATGCAATGATCACGCATAGACTTTGTCCCATCATACTTTATGGTTGTAAGATCTGCCATAAGTTTCCCTTCAAGGGATTTGTCCGCAGTCTTAAACCGTTTTTCTATAGCTGCAAGATAAGCCTTAGCTTTATCTGCATCTGGAAGAGAAGTTTTTATGTTGTTGGCAATTGTCATCCTTAAGAGCATAATGCTCAATCTATTGAATTTCTCCCAAGCTTTATGGAAATCATATTCTTCCTCAATACTGTTCTCTGTAATTGGTTCCTCTTCATGGAATACCAAATCCAAGTCCAGTACTCCTAATGTGAACTCAATTTTCTCTTTCCATTATGAGAAGTTGGTTTCACTAAAAATCGGAACATTTGAGACCATGGATGACAAGCCATCAGTAATTAATGCTATAATTTAGAGATATAACAAGCTTTAAATTAAACTTCAAAGTTAAACAACACATAAAATTATTGAATGCATATGACTATAGATTATAATGCTCATATGGGTAATCACTATAATCAATCTTAAGGTTATAGCTTTCGGAAACTTTTCTCGAATGATGTATCACATTAATTAAGCTATATGTGGATATACTTAACTAACTTATATACAAACATTCTTATAAATTATTGATCATGTTTTATGTCAATAGCCTACATGTGGGTAGCTAGTTAATACATAAACATATCAAAATTATCTTTAAAATATTTGGTTTTCATGTGAAAATCATTATATGATAAAACCTATTATGGTTATATCAATCTTAATTTTGTACTTTTAGAAAAAACCAGTCTTTTATCATTTAGAAAATTCTCACAAATTTCTATTATGCGGATTATGAGAATAACTTTTATCTTTGAAATTTTCTAACTCATACATGAAAATTAGACAAAGATTCAAGACTACAAACACCATAATATGCGTCTTTAATTTTCGGTTATTTAAACCATAATTCTATTATTCTTAATGGATAATTAGATGTTCATAACCATAAGCTCTGCTGCCACATGTTATACATACTTTTAACTTGAACCCCAAGATCTTAAACATTTAAATTAATCACATAATAGAATCATAAAGAGGGTTCAAGAAATACCTCCACTCATTGTAGAAATGATGCTTACTTGGATGGTTCCTTGAAAGTAAACCTTCCTTGATCAATAGTTTGTAGACTTGAAAACAAAACTCTTAATCTTTAGGTAGGAGATAAAGTTTCTCTCCCCTTGCCTATAAGTCTTTCTCTTTAAGTGTTGTTTTTGTTCATGATGATTTGTTATGGAGCAAGCATCTATTTATAGGTGGGGAGAGGACCTTATTCCTCATTAGGGTTTTGCCTTTTAATTTAATCTTAACTATCCATCAAAGTAGAGATCAAGGCCTTGGTGACATGTGTGAGGACATGTGTCTAGCACTGGTTCTTTATCTTGGTCCCAAAGCTAGCCATAGCTTTCTCTCCAAGTTATTAACCAAAGCATGACATGTTGCTTAACACTTGTCCTCTTAATGACATGTAGCTTAGCACTTGTCCTCCTCTTATTGTCTTCTACATTCATTAGGGAATTAACTCCTTAATAACCAATTATATTGGTTACCAAATGTTAATTGAAAATATAACAATTCTATTATAAACCAATTAACTATAACACCACATACATGAGTAAGATATAATTATTTTCTTACATATACGACTATATATAGCTGTTACAATGCGGTGGCAAATTAGCGACGGTTTTGTTACTAAGAAAATTTCCTACCAAATATTTGTGACGTTTTGCCGTAGTCGGTAAGTAGTCTCTAACGGTGACTTTGTGACCAATTTAAGACATTTTTGGGAGTCACAAAAAGCTGGTTTTCTTGTAGTTATGATCCATGTGTTTATAAAGAGTGTTATTTTGAAATATTTCACACATATAAAAAATGACTTAAATATACAAACATAATATCTTTATTTAACATACCGTTAATTATATTGAAATTTACCCAGATTGACCCAAATCTAAAGATTAATAACTAGATTAACACTCTAATTTTGTAGTTTACTAGACTACCACAAATTTTGTGTAAAATGACCAAAACCCCATTTTAATTCTATTAGTCTTTAAAAAAAATAAACAAAAAACCAAAAAAAAACCAGAAAAACCCATAATGTAAAATATGGTAATTTAGGTTGTCTCTTCATTTATTAGTTTTCAGTATTGGAAATTAGAAACAAAAAGTCTGTTGTACTTAAAATATGTAATCTGTCATGAAAAGTCTGTCACCATATAAGAAGAAAAAAATCTGTCATAATAGGAATAAAAATTTAAATCTGTCATTGCTTAATACATCTGTTATCAGTATATGAAGTCATTCCAGGAATATTTTTTTTTCATCACTAAGACTGATAACATGTGACAGTTTTTTTATAACTTATCTCAAATCTGTCATAATGTAAATAAAATATGTTATCAAATAAAATATTTTATTTGCGATTGTATGTCAATCTAGCAATTTTTTTTTTGTATGACAAATCTGCTATCACTCAACAGTTTTTTTGTTTAAAAATAAAAACTGTCATAACATAAAAGAAATTTGTTATCACTATTAAGTCACACTAGTAATTATTTTTCTAAAAAATAATATGTCACTTGATGGCAGATATTTTTATGAAAATAAAAATCTGAGGCCACTAAAAACATAAATCTGTCACAGATTTTAATAAATCTGTCAAAGTGACGAAAGTATGTGGTGTCATCAAACAATAAGTCTGTCTTGGGGTAAAAATCTACAACAAATTAAATATATGTCGTAACCTGTTAAAATAAATCTGTGGGAAAAAGATATGCCACAGAAAATCTGTCGTAGACAAATAAGTCTTTCATGGAAAATAAACCTGTCACAACTAATCCAGCAGACTTTTTTGAACAAAAAATTTCCCGAATTATTTTCCCCCACGTTTTTAAAATAAATATAAGGGTAATTTTGACTCTTTTTCCTAACAAAGAGAGAAAATATATTATCGTCATGAAAATAACCTATCTAACCCCCAAATGTTTTGAGACACTCTAATAATTAAAGTCATTGTTTGGGTTAATCTACTAACTTTCCCTTAATTATATCATAATAACTTAAGGGGGGTGTATTGAAGAAAGAATTTGGAGTGATTTGAGTTTTAATGAGTTTTGAGATGATTTTGGTGAATTTTGATGAATTAGGGAATTTGATATCAAAACTCTCCCAAATCCCACCTAAAACCATGAGATTTGGATATTTGAATTTTTAACTAAGATGTTCTCTGAAATCCCACCAAAAATCACTCAAGTCATTTCAAATCCACAACTTTAAATGTTTCCAATAACAGTGGATTTGATTGTAGATTTTAAAATCACTAATCCAATAACACTTGATTTTAAAAAGATTTTTAAAATTCATGTTTGAATAACATAGGATTTATCTTTCTAATACAAATCATTTCAAATCCTTTATTGAATACACCCCCCTAAATACAAAAGTTGATTAACTTTGGATAAAGGGCAAAATCTGGAAATTAATTACAAAAGTGGCATTAAAAATGTAAAATAACATTCTTTTTGAAACAGAATAATAACTCTAAAACGACACTTTTTGTGAAACCGAAAAAGTATAATATATCAAGAAGCTCTCAGAGTCAAATTGAGAACCCAAAAATAAAACACAAATAGAGTAACAGAAGTTGCAGATTGTTTTAGCCAAAACTACTCCCTACATCCCCATAAGAATAACATAAAGAAATTAAAAGAAAACAAGCATAAGGAAAAAAAAAAAAAAAAAAAGAGAGGATTTATGAAAGAAAGGAAAATGATCATCTTCATTAGCTTCCCTTTCGGTTCCATGGAGGAAAACAGCAACCCTACACATAACAATTTACAATTGACGTTGACAACTTAAATATGATAGATAACCAAAATATGATTTCTTTTTTTCAATGCATTTATCAAATTTATTATAGGGTAATATTAGGGAATAGCCAAATAAAACACATAAATTAGGAAACCAGCAGAGAGAAAGGTTTTTGTCATAAAATAGCCATGGACCCACGTTGTCAGAATATGTGAAATAACAAAACCATCCTTCGTTTGTTTTGAGATCAACAGTAGGCGAAATTGTTTCGTGAGATTTTTAAAAATAGCACGTAAGATCTAAATTTCACATGTTATATTTAACTAAAAGACATGCTATTTCAAAAAACGTATTGAATTTTTAAGAAAAAACATTGTTACGTAGTTTTTTTTTTTAAAACATTGTCATGGAAAAATTAAACTTGAATGGAATCTTTTTAAAAAAAAATAACATGTGATCTTAATAAAAACCGTGTATTACTAGAAAATAAGAATCTTTTTTTAAAGAAATCACATGTGATCATAATTAAAAAACTCGTATTACTACAAAATAACATGATAGAGAGAGATATTAAACTGAATAGAGTGTTTTTTTCAAGAAATACCATGTGCTTTTTATAAATAACGTGTAATACGAGAAAATAATATGATAAAAAGAGATATATTATTCTATCACATGTAATTCGAAAAAAAAACATGTTATAAAGGACATATACATAATTACATGTGCTTTCCGACATAATACAGACAAGTTACTGTAGCATATGGCTATTTTGTTAATGATCCTCAAAAATTTGGCTATTTTGTGCATATTCCCTTTATTATATTGTCTCTTGTCATGGAAATAGAGTAATGGCGGATAGCCTTATGTATGATCTATTCTTTTGATGTGTGGCTATACTTTCTAAATAATTTGTTCAAATATTATTATGGAAATATATAAATAAATAAAAGAATATATATACCTTGGGACTAGAAGGTAAAGGTTGATGATGTTGGTTGATAATGGGTCGAGTCGGGGTGCTATGATCGGTTCCATTAGAAGATCTCGCATGGTTCCTATCTTCTTTCACTTTGTCAAAGATGAGTGTGTAACTCTGATTCTCCATGTTCGAACCAGTTCCAGGAAATGGCGGAATAGTCGCCACCTAATTGAGAACAAATACACTTATTTAGTGATATATTTATGAATTGTGACACACATTTTGTATTAGAAAATGGTAAGAGTATACATACCCTTTCACTACTTTGACCTCTAAGATTGCGTATGGGCCGCACCGGGTCATGATCACGTGATTGCCGTCTATTTGTTTCCGACGGATTTCCCATTGATCTGCCTCCTCCACCATATGATTGATTGTTGTATGTTTCTGGTGTGGGAGGAACTGATCTAACTCTTTTGTTTCTTTCATTGTGTGCAGGAGACGGTCTGAATTCAGTTTCTTCTCTGCTATTGAATCTTCCATGTCTTGGTCTAACATTATGGTTTGGTGGTTGTTGGTCATGCCTAGACATATTTCGATTTTGTGCAGCATTTGGATTCATTTCTGGATATTCATTCGGGTTGGACACGTTCATATTTTTCTTGCTTTTGCTCACTTTTTCGAACACGACCGTGAATGCAGGAGCATCTTCGGTCCAGTCTCCGAATTTGGGCACGTGTGGACGATTCTATAACCACAAGAAAGAAAAAAAGATTTTGAGAAACATAGACTTTCATTGAAATTGTAAGTAAGAGACATAAATATTCTTACAAAATTAGAAATCTCATATTAATGAACATAAATATTGTGGTTATAGACCATATAAAGAGTTGGTGTAGATATTTAGAGTCGAAATTTTATATTTGCTACAATGTTTAGAGCTGAATCTTAACGTGCAAGAAACAGAAACATCGTCGATCTGTAGAAGCTAATCATAATTTCATTACGTATTGAATTATATTGATGTTAAGAAGAAGACCAATTAATGTGTATTCATACGCATAAATGTCAATATAGAGAGTCAAACAAAAGAAAATCTCATGATATCGTATAAATTCTAGAAAAATTACAAGTTCTAAACATGTTATAGGATCCATATGTAGGTAAGAACTATACAAACATATTTGAGAATTACCCTCCATTCTCACGAAGTAAAACTCAGAGATAGAGGGTAGAATAAAGACAAACACTTGTAGAACAAATCGAAAATTATCATAAATGAAGACTAAAACCAACAAAAAAAAAAAAAAAAGACTTACGGCCATATTTCTGAATCTCCAGCAGCCAGAAATGAAGAATTGCTTCAATAATGGGTATGAAAGAAAGAGAGATTATTGAGAGATAGAGATAGAGAGGTAAGAGACGTGTAAACACGAAGGCGTTGACAATTCATTGTCGTTGACTTGTCTTTCTTTGTGATTGCGTAAACCGACGACGACTCCTTCTACGGTTCTGGTTAGTCTTCTTTCTACCTTAATGATTAACGAATACTTCCAACTAACGACGCGCTTCATGCTTGTTTTATATATAAAAATAAAATAATTGCATACTAGGTATTATCCAATCACATAAAAATTATAGTTAATTGGTTCAAATGTTTTTGAGACTCCTGACCAAAAAAAAAAGAAAAGAGAAAGGTTGTCTTTATAGATCCCAAACCAAAAGTCTCTACTTCTCAAAATAAATCTAGATTTTATTTGCTCTATGCTAGTATATCAGAAAGAACACGGTTCGGTTAGATCAATAGTTTGTATGAAACACTTAATTGTTTTTTACTTCTTTTTTTCTTGTATGATAGCTAGCCAGTAGCCAATAAACTACTCTATAAACATGGGAGAACAAGGACGATCATTAGCATCGTTTGTACATAATTTAGAGGAAAAAAGATAGTCAGCTACACGAAGTATAACAGAAAACATGGCTACACATGCCAAGTTTAAAAATGTACAACCAACTATACGAATTAAATGTATTGCATGCCCACATATACCAACTATATGACGATATGTAGTCAACATCACGAACATTTTATTTCGGTACACTAATCATCAAAATTCGGCATTGACCATCGTTGACCGGTATTGACCAACAAAAATATTCAAAAATATATATTTTTATTTATTTTAAATGTTTTTAAAAAGAATTACTCTATAGAATCGGTTATGGTGTTGTATAATAATAATAAAAAAACACATTCTATATTTTTAAAATATATATATTTTGTATGATAATAATAATTAGTTAATTTTTTCAATTTCAAAACTAAACTAAAAGCGAAATAAATAAAATTCTATTACAAAAAATTGAGTATATGACTCTTTAGTCTAAATTTTGCATGGTAAAAATATATAAATTTTTTTGCTAAAATCAAAATCATAATACATAAAAAAGATATATAGAAAATTTTATATATTCTTTAGTCTAAATTTAATATATTGTTAAATTTTTGTAATTAAAATTATTAAAACAAATTCTCGTAATAACGCGTAAACAACAAAAAAATTCGCAATGTTTTTTTTTAATATATAGAAAATAGAAAATCTAACGATGTTGATTTTAGCAAAAGCATTTGTAAAATAAGAAGTTAATGTTTTTTATTGACAATGTACAAATAAGTAATTCGCTTAATTATTTTTATTTCACTTTTATTTTAGTTTTTAAATTGAAAAAACTAACTAATTATAATAATCAATATATTAAATATATATACAAAATATCTTTATTTTGAATTTAATATGTATTAGTTTTGTTTTTAATATTAAAATAAATAAAAATAATTTTTTTGCATATTTTTGTTGGTCAATGCCGGTCAACGATGGTCAACGCCGGATTTCAACGATTGGTGTACCGGAATAAGATGTTCGTGATGTTGACTACATGTCGTCATATAGTTGGTATATGTGGGCATGCAATACATTTAGTTCGTGTAGTTGGTTGTACATTTCTAAACTTGGCATGTGTAGCCATGTATTCCGTTATACTTCGTGTAGCTGAATATCTTTTTTCCTAATTTAGAGCATGTAAAAAAACCCTTTCAACTATATACTTTTTTTTTTTTTTTCTTCATGACAAGAAGTTTCATGATGATACTTTTTATCTTCATGACAAGAAGCAGCTAGTTTGATCATACTTTTGGCACGTCTGAAAAGAATGGATTTAATTTCAAATTCCTACAACTCACACGTGAGTACATTATGAGATATTTTAAAAGTACTAGTACAAAACTACAAATGTACCAGATCCTTTAAGAGCATCATGAAACTCTTAAAACGTGAAGATGACTTACCTTGATAGGATCTCAAACCACGGTGGTAATTCGAACTACCACTTGTCTTTTCGATGTTATTGTCCAAAATAAAAGGTCCGATGCCGGTTTGATTGTATCTTCAAGATATGAAGTATGCCGAAGTTATTTATTTATTTATTTATTTATTTTTATTTTTTTTGCCGAAGTTATTTTAGGTATGGATTAATTGTTTAACCATCAAGAGGGTCATCTTCCATAGAGAGATTAGATACGCAGTCATCTATGAAGAATTCATATTAAGCTACAAATTAAACTTAAGATTTAAGAGTAAATAACCTTTAATTTTATGAGGGAACATAAATTAAGGATTCGACATTATGGTTGGCTGTCGCTGACGAAGGAATAATTACTGAAAATGGGTCTAGTTTACGAACATATTACAAAATAACCAAAGGTCGTGAAACACGTTCGCGTGGGCGATACGAATATGGCCTTATGACGAACTAAAAGAACATTCTGACATATCATAAATGCCAAGCAGCTGAACTGATACTTATCCGGCTACAATCAAAACGAGGTGATGATCATTAAATGCAGGTACCTTTAATTTGAGTTCCCTGGAATTTGAAATTTTATATAGAGAGAGCTTTATTAACATTTGTATAAATGTAAACATGTATATGGAGCGTTATTAAAATTTGTATACATGTAAACACGTATATAGAGCGTTATTAACATTTGTATATATGTAAACATAAACATAGAACGTTATTAACATTTGTATACTTTTATGCACGCTACAATAAATATATTACAATCACCGTATCTCAATAAGTGGAGATCTACGAGAAATAATGGAAGTCTAAAAATGGATCTAACAAAAACAAGTATAGATACAAGTGGATCGAGAAAGGGGTATTAGAAAATTTAGCTGAAAAAGCTTCAAAAATCAAAAGACGAAGATTGAGTGAAAAAGATGAGACAAAGGTGGATCATAACGCATGAACAAACGAAATCGATTAAAAATTTAAAATTAATATCTCTATTTTTATTAATAAAATTGATATTTTAACAAAAACAAAAGTTAATTTCACAACTAAAGTAAATAATATTCATTCGATGGTTTAAAATTTGTTGACATTTTCCTTTTCGAAACAAATTTATGTATTCATTTCTCCAAGACAAAAACAGAGGCAACTTTACCATTGCCTCGTCATCTCTCTTAAAAGTAAAGCAAAAGGACAAATTTATTGTTGCTTTTACAAAGGCATGACTAGTTTAGACTTTATAGTATAGAGCAGGACCGGAAGTTTCTAAATTTTTTTTAATGCCCTACGCATAATTAACAATTTGGGCCTTTTTGTTAATGTAAAAAAAAAAAAAATTCTCCCAAAAAAAGTGTTTAACAATGTGAGACCCTAAGCGGTGGCTTCACTTGCTTGCCCTCCGGATCGGCCTGGTATAGAGTTCACTCTTAAATCTTAAGTTTACATAATTAGTACACCATTAATCACAACCATTGATCTCTCTCTCTCTCTCTAGATTAGTAGTACTAAACAACATTTATACCTTTATGCTTTCTACTGAACTTTTCTCAGATCCTTCTTCTTCACTATTCAGTGTTTCATCTCTCCTACTAAAACCTTCTTCGATTTCTTGACTTCAATTCTTCTTTTAGTCCTCTCCATTTTATGATTTCTTGGTGGTATCAAGAACTGAGTGACCAATTTCTTGAAAAAGCAAATGGGTTTTAGATAAACTCGTTGCTTGCTTTCTCTTCGTTCTCCGATCTGGGTTTTGGTTTTAATCTCATACCCAAGTAGCAAAACTTGAAGACAAGAGTGAGAAATTAGGGTTTAGAGTTTACCTTATTGGTGAATTGTGGTAAAGGAACAAACTTTAGGGGAAAATTCAGACATGATTCAGTTACTGTTTCTAGTTCTATTTGTGGAAGGTGCGATTGCATTCTTACTGTTGATAAAGATTGGTCCTTTGAGAGAGCTTGTGATTAAAAGCCTTGACCAGATGAAGATGGGTAAAGGTCCTGCCACTGTGAAAACCATTGCGGGAACTATGTCTGTTATTCTCTTCTCTAATCTCATGAGCATTGTCAAGATCCAGAACAAAGGTGCAAAGCTTGGGACAATGTCTCCTATGGATCAGGTTCTTTGGAGAACACACTTGCTTGAAGCTTCTTTATTGGGTCAGTTTCTCTCTTTTTTTTTCTTGTTGTGATAAAAATTGTACTATAGGGCTTTGTTGATTGATTGTTGTCTTGATAGGTCTTAGCTGTTGGCTTCTGAACAAAAGTTGAAATCTTGGCTTGATTTTGTGCTGATAAGTCTAGCTGTTCCTCTTGGTCCGTGGCTTTTAAGGCTGATTCAGCTTTTGCTAAATTCGTATAGGCTTTGTTTTTGCTAGAGGGATGATCTGAATAATACAGATTCGCAAGCTTAAGTTGAGTTTGTATACCAATTGAGTGGATAACGGTGTCCATGTATAGAACCACAATGCCGGTGTTTTCGTATCACACATATTATCTATAGTTGTATCCAAGGTTCTGTTCTGCTAGTATTCACCAGATTTGAGAAGTTGACTTGGTAGTTGATAAGTTTGGAACCTGAATCCTTATTAACAGTAACAAAATACTTCTTATATTGATTCTTGATTTGTTGATATCAATTAAGAACAGATGGCCAAAAATGCATTCACATATGATCTAGCTATTAGCTATGTAACACATGAAAATGTTGAGCTTTATAACGTGTAAATAATGAATTACATTTGGAGCTCAAAAAGCTTAATGATCTTTGCAGGAGTCGTACTTTTTCTCGGCTTCATAATTGACAGAATGCATCACTACCTCAGAAAGCTAATCAATTTAAGAAGCAACGTTGGGTCATCAAAAGATGAACTTGAACAGCTTCAGAAAGAAAGAGCCGGACTGAAGGAGAAAGAGGATAAAGCATCCAAGGAAATCAAGCAGCTGCAAGAAGAACTGTCATCTATTTTAGAGAGACTAAAAAAAGCAGAGACTGAGTCGAAAGAGAAAGAGAAGAAACTCGAAACCGCTGAAACCCATGTCACGGCGCTACAGAAACAGTCTGCAGAGCTGCTTCTAGAGTATGATAGATTGCTAGAAGATAACCAACATCTCCAAAGCCAAATCTTGGGGAAAACCAAGAGCTGAGGTTAAGTTTGTCTGGTGTCATTTAACCATGGTGAAAAAG